GCATTCCCTCATTGACGGCATTCTCTCTTTTACTCTTTGTAAAAGTGTGTTATCAAAGAAATAAACACGTGATAAAGGCAATTTGTGAAATTCGAAAGAACTGGTACGTAGTTTCACAAACTTTATTTCTCACGGCCGTAGTAGACTAAGCAAATCCTTTAATTTAAAAACACCAATCTGTGAAACGAGCACCTTTCAGGCCTCCTACTTTGATCGCATTGTGAAACTTTGGAATTACTCTTGTTCGATTGCTCCTTCTTCTAGTTTTTCGAGTCCGCTCTCCTTCCAGCTTTTCGTCAAACAAACACTTTTTGACTGCCTGAGAACGTCCTTGACATTGACTAGCCCTGCACCTAGACACTAATTAGAACTTGCTCGTGCTGCAAGTTAGAGGTGTAATTAGTACTATGTTATAAACCAAATAAAGTTGTTAAAAAAGTTGTTCACTCAAATGGCAGGAATTGAAGCAAATGCATACATCAAGGTGAATATGATTAAATAAACACTTACAAAAGAATATCAAGTCTTTCAGTTATCTGTCTTAGGTAAGAGGGAGTAGGTCCAGGGTACTAAGTCTGTCTCTGCAAGATATCTCGCCAATCCGGGTTTGTAAGATCCATCTGGTAGCGCGCCGCTGCACTCGCTCGACTTGCGCCTTCAGGGAAACCTGAGCAGGCGACCAGACTTGAGTAGCGTAGCAGAGTTGTGACTTGACTAGCGATAAGTATGGCGCGCGCCGGGTAGACACGTCAGTTAGTAATGGACATGTCCGCTTTAGGAGCCCAAGGAGCTTGTTGTCTCTAGCGGTGATGTTGTATATATGAGAGTGCCAAGACAACGTACCATCGAGGGAGTTTTCATTCGCGTCACAGTAAGCGTTGTGCATTTCTAGGTGTTGAAGTTGATGTTATTTCCCTTTGACCAGTCATTCACGTTTGCTAGAGTGGTATGCAGAGACAGGCAATCGCTGACGGAGATGACGTTTTTATGCAGCTTGGTGTCATCATCGTATAACGCTGCCCTCATCCCGCCTACAGTTTCACCCCGGAGATCGTTATTAAAGATCGTCCAAAACTACCCTTTGAGCTCGACCCTTTCGCAAAATCCAAGTAAATGACATTAGTCTGATGTTCTTATCCTACTAAGTAGTGGATAACATTTTTCATTTAGCTCTGCAGGTTTTCCACGATCGCTTGAGTACTTAACTGGTATCTACGGCCTATTTCGGAGTAAGAATTTAAAAGAAAATTAAGAAAATCCATTTTACAGCATTTTTATACTTATTAGATAACAAACTGATCCTTAATTTCATTTTTGATGTGCCTAACCCTTCGCCTTTCGGGAGCCAATAAATCTGATGCAAACTGAATCGTAACAGCAATTGGAAAACGATTTCGATCACAAACGTTAAATAGAATAGCAACTGGAACTCAAAATTTCTTCCATCCATTTTTACACATCTCTGTATAGCTGTGTATAGCTCTGTTAAGCAGTGTATGGCTCTGTATAGCTGTGCATAGCCCTGTATAGCCCTGTTTAGCCCTGTATAGACCTGTAAAGGTGTGTATAGCTCTGTTTAGCTGCGTATTGCGTGTGTATAGCTGTGTATAGCCCTGTATAGCTCTGTATAGTCCTGTATAGGTGTATGGCTCTGTATAGCTGTGCATAGCCCTGTATAGCCCTGTTTAGCCCTGTATAGACCTGTAAAGGTGTGTATAGCTCTGTTTATCTGTGTATAGCTCTGTATAGTTGTGTATAGCCCTGTATAGCCATGTATAGCTGTGTATAGCCCTGTATACCCATGTATAGCCCTGTATGGCAGTGTATAGCTGTGTTTAGCCCTGTAAAGCCTTGTATAGCCCTGTATAGCTGTGTATAGCCCTGTAGAGCTGTGTATAGCCCTGTAGAGCTGTGTATAGCCCTGTAGAGCTGTGTATAGCCCTGTAGAGCTGTGTATATCCCTTTATAACTGTATATAGCCCTGTATAGCTGTGTATAGCTCTGTATAGCAGTGTTTAGCCCTGAATAGCTGTGTTTAACTGTGCATAGCTGTGTATAGCCCTGTATAGCTGTGTATAGCCCTGTATAGCTATGTATAGCCCTGTATAGCTGTGTATAGCCCTGTATAGCTGTGTATAGCCCTGTATAGCTGTGTATAGCCCTGTATAGCTGTGTATAGCCCTGTATAGCTGTGTATAGCTCTGTTTAGCTGTGGTTAGCCCTGTATAGCCGTGTATAGCTGTGTATAGCCCTGTATAGCTCTGTGTAGCCCTTTATAGCTGTGTATAGCCCTGTATAGCTGTGGTTAGCCCTGTATAGCCATGTATAGCCCTGTATAGCCCTGTATAGAATATAAAAGGTTCTGGTGTGGCAATC